ACAGGTTCAACATAGAGGTCATGACCACACACTCCCAAACCTTTCTTTCCCAGCTTGGTCTCAAGCCTTGACCTTCCTTAGTTTTTAGTTGACTAAATTAATTGGATTGAAATGGCTGCATTTACCCCTTGTTTTAAATTACTGCATGATTTGTTAAAACATTTTACACAAGTAAAACTATCAAATGATTCAGAGATGTTATAATCAGTGGCCCAAAAAGTATTTAGCTTTTCCAAATATTTTTGGGGCCATTGTATAATGTGACAAACTCTAATTCACTGCTTACTTCTGTGTTTGCGTGTTGTAAAATTAAGCATATTAGTTCTTTTAAAAAAAAAATTATTTAAAAATATTATGTTTGCAAGTTTTCTATCAGGGAAAGTTTGAATAAATCATGATAACACACCTTGACCCGGTTCTCAAATATGAAGATATTTGAGAACAGCTACTATCCCTGCATGCCTTTTCATTGCGCTGTTCACCTTTAACATTTAATCACATAAGATCTTATGAAGCAGTCCTATTCAACACAAAAGCATGGATAAACAGCTTTGAAATCTTGTTGTTTCAGAATATGTTTACATGCATGACCTTACACCAATTATGTTTAATTACTTGAGAATTAATGTAAAGGTCATGTCAACACCTTAAACATTGTTCTTTTATCGGATTAAAGTTAAACGGTCTAAGCAAAACCTGATTGACACACTTAGATTTTTGTGTATTACCGCAATTTCGCTCTGCATACTTGTGAGCATTTTGACATCAAAACTGGAGAGAAATGAACCTCAAATTCAGCTTGCTTCTGACATAAAAAACAATAATCAATGGGATGAATATCAATAAAAACCCAACATATGACCATTCTAATGTTAATGAGTATAACCTGGGGATTCCACACTCTTCTATAGTGTAAAATGAACTCAGAGGATGGGAGAGAAGGGAAGGAGAAACAGAAAGGATCAATACACATCAGGAAGAGGCTTGGTAGAGAGAGAGAGAGAAGCCAGAATAAAAACAGGTGTATGGCATGGAAAACAAACCTAAAGGAAGTTAGACATGCAGGACAAAAGATGAAGAAACAGACAGACGGCTGGAGTAGTTGTGAATTTTGGTTATCCACAGGAGGCATATTACTCTGAAGGGTTACTGCTGTTATTAGGGATCTCATTATGGCCCAAGTCTTCCATGCACAGTCAACACCCACTGGGACTCCAGCCTCCTCTGACCTGGACAGCCTTTGAAAGATTTATCCACATGGATGACTCGGTGGTTTCAACATGAAGAATGATTCCTTAGAGGTGATTTTGATACTCATGTTTAAATTAAATATCCAACTCTTGTATGGTATCAGTTTAAGATGCACAATGCTTAAAAAAACTGCCAAAGTATTATATAGTATATAAACCAAAACAACATGTAACACAAATCTGTTTCCTGTAGAACTGTACCACTGTATTTGGCATCACTATTTGCTGATACTACTGTGTTGTGTTTAGTTTAAAAGTGTGCTTCTAACTGCTCTTTGTCAATGTCACATCTCTAATGCAATGTTAACGTGACAGACAAGTGAAACAGGGGTTTTAATGGGGGATGAGAGATAGAGAGAAACCACAAAGGAACAGTGGCCATCCAACAGACGGGTGATAATTAAAGCCTGGATGGAGGGAGGGAGAAATGCAGAGAGGATAGGGGGGATGCAAGGGTCTCTGCTTTCTTTTAGTGATGAGGTAATCCTCAGTCCAAACACACGGCTGCCCACTGTCATCTGTGTCACAATTCACTGAGCTGTCCCCCTCAACAGATGTCCCCCTCTAGCAATGCTACAAGTCTCTCTCCATTCACTCGGCCTGTAATTTGGTGCATGCACAGAGCATGAAACTTGGTCATTGTTGTTCTGCAGCAAAGCTTAACAAGAAGACGTTTTCATACAGTTCTGAAAACCTTTTCATACGTAGATGCATTTCCAGGAATAGGGGTCTGAAATAAGGTTTGTATTGAATGTGTTGACAATGAGAATGCTTTCAGTGACCTCTCTGAAAACCAACACGCATACACATGCTAAACCTGCCAAAGCCTTCGTGTTTTAAGTCTAATAATTTAGCCAAACATATCATGGATTCAATATCTTAAGGATGCAAGATCTTGTGAATAAAACTGATTGCATTTCCTCAAATAACATTACATTCCCGTACATCTCCAGTCAAAAAGTTTGGACACACCTTTATGCATTCGAAAGTCTATATTATATCCTCTCATGCATTCCCTGGGTTTCAAACCTACAACTGTTAGCATTTCTAGCACCATGTCCATTTTTCACATAGAATAATAGTAAAGTCATCAAAACGATAAAATTGTTTTGAAATCGTTACTGAGGGATCATGTCACACTGAAGATGGAGTAATGGCTGCTGAAAAATCAGCTTTGGTGAGCATAAGATAGTCTACTTTTTCCCCCAAAATGTAAAACATCTTACTGACCCAATACATTTGAGTGGTAGTGTAGGTGTTATTTAGTGATCAAAAATCGTACACAAAAAAACATGATCATGAAACATAAATTCAGTCAAGTGCGTTCAAGCTTTTGATTGGCATGGCTGCAAAGTAATGTAATGTAATCACTGTAGAAAGCTGACCACAGAGTGCTCATTTCCTTACTACACAGACACACATACACACTTCTAATAGCCAGACCTGCTCATCAGGCTGGTGTCCTGACTCCATTCACATTCATGAGTTCAGGGGTTCCTGTCCCTGCCTGCGTCCATTCATATGTACAGTAACCAGAAGGACAAAGGGTACGACCGCCCCTCCCCCCCGAGTGTGGGATTGTGTGATGCCAGAGGATGGGGGCTGAGGTTAGGGAGACAGAAGATGAAAGGACAGTGTGAGAAAATTTTTACTAAAAAAATTAAGTATGTGGTCTGTGTTTGTGTATAAAGAGCAATGATGGTAAATGCAACTAACTACACTGCTTGTTGTTCTCTCAGGCTCTTATAGGAATGGTGCAAGTACAAGTTAAGCTCTATTGACAGCATTTGATCAATTCCCATAAAAATTGCATCTTTTAAAGCAAAAATCAAGGCTATATTTATGTACAATGGAAGTCAACAGGGACCAGCATTCCAGTTGGTTCAAAAGGAGAAATGTGAAGTTTATTTTGTTTGAGCTGCAACGTTGTCTAAACCTCCTTTTGAGATGTGGCTACTTTTCTAAGCAGATGAACTTCCAACACGATCTCACGGCAATTCGTACGAATTTTACGAGGTGGCTAATTCGTACGACCTCACTCGTACGAATTTGTACGATTTGGTCTAAACCCACGTGATGGGTAGGTTTAGGGGCGGGGTCAGGGGTAGGTCATTCGTACGAATTCATAAGAATTGAGCAACTCGTAAAATATGTACGATTTAGCAAAAATCTTACAAATTCATACGAGTGAGGTCGTATGAATTCATACAAATTAGCCACCTCGTAAAATTCGTACATATTTTATGAGTTGCTCAATTCGTATGAATTCGTACGAATGACCTACCCCTGACCCCGCCCCTAAACCTACCCATCACGTGGGTTTAGACAAATCGTACAAATTCGTACGAGTGAGGTCGTACGAATTCTTACGAATTAGCCACCTTTTAATCACTCGTACAAATTTGTACGAATTGGTCGTGAGATAGCGTTGGAACTTCTGGTTGTGCTTTACTTTTTTTGGCCATGTAAATAGTCTTTTTCTACACACTCATAAGGCTACGTCTCTCCGGAAATATTTAAAAACAGTGTTTTTGTTTCAAAATGCTCCCGTCCACTCTAGCATTTTCAAGTGTTTTCCAAAGGTTGCTCATCCACACCGAGACTGAAAATGCTTTAATGAACATGAATAAAACATAATAAAATCTCACGAGATGATACCGAGAGAGCAGACATAATAAACTTCTCACGCTATTCTTCTGGCATGATTGTTTTATTAGCAAAATATCCCACCGCTAACTGTTGCGTCCAGGTTGCATTCAAAACCGTATGATCCAAATCGCAATTTTGCTGTAGGATAGCAATTGCAAGTACATTTTCTGTCATCTTTTCAGGAATGCAAAATGGAGATTCTAAAAAGGAACAATTATCTTTAGCAACACAATGAAAGTAAATAGTAGGTGCAACCAGTGGTGGATTTAGCAAATTGGGGGCCCAAGGCAAAGGTAGTATGGGGCCCCCCATCCGCTCTTTAAAAGAGAACGACATTTTTTTTTTTTTGAAAAATAAACCATTAAATGGCACTTTCTGGAGAGTTTTGTGCAAAGAAATATAGAAAAAAGTAGGTCTAGAAAGTCTTATATTTCTGTAATTCACACAGATCAAACACAAATATACTGACTGAATAGATTGCTAGTGAGAAACACTGCTTTAATGAATGTTTTTATGATGCTCTCCTGTCTGCGACACTAATGATTTGATGCTTTTTTTCGCAAATGTTTTTTAGAAATATATAATTTGCGAAAAGTAAAAAACAAAAAAACAAAAAACTTAAGCATAATTTAATGGGGCATTTTGGGGGCCCCTAGGTAGCTCGGGGCCCAAGGCAATTGCCGACCTTTGCCTAATGGTTAAGTCCGCCCCTGGGTACAACAACAGTATAACGATAGATATCTATAGGTACAATATGTATCACATGACTAAACCTGTGTCATTGTTTTCGAATACCCCAATTTTGCCGTTTTCAAATTTATCCACTTTGTAGAGCGTTTTCAAAAAGCTCCGTCTTTGTTGACAAAAATGCTATCTACGTGTGGACGGAAGGCCAAAACGGAGAGGAAAAAATGAGTTTTCAAAGAAAATTGTCCTTTTGTCCGGAATGGGATGACTCTGTGGATGTTAAAGCACCTTTATTTTTAAGAGTGTGATTTATTAGTCTCAAAACACATTTAACATTAATCATAATGTATGCACTTTTGAAACCGTGAATATTTCAGTGTTCATTGTGGCCATGTACATAGATTGTAAGTGCCTTACTGTAAAACTGTGGGATGAGGCAACATTTTTTTTTTTTTGGTAATCATTATAACAACACAAATGCCACCGGTTACACACAGAACACAAACACATCCACAGTGACTCTCACCAACAGGGTATAGTTTAAATAAAGATGCAATGTTTCTGTGGATGAATGCATGCGTGTTGTCTTCCTCTTTCCTTGCCTGTAGTGAGGAAGCCGAGTATTATGTCAGAGCACATCCTCCGTTGTCAACAGCTCCAGACAGGTGGTGTTCTCCCCCCGACAGCAGCCGTCCCAGGCTCCTAACTCTCTTACTGCCCTGGAAGGAGCTCCAAACAACCTCCAGATGTTTCTCCACCACTTCCTTTAAGCCTTTTAAGAATAACAGGAAATGGATTAACTAACCAGCTCTATTCTCATGCCAATGTTCAGTAGTAGTGGTCAGATTACTTCCCAGGATCACCCATAATCCCAGCTCACTCCCTGGGAACTGTCTAGTCAGGAATCCATATATGTAACATATACAATTATAAATGTTATACTCTCACATTTGTCTAGTTAAGCTTAAAAACGACAGGATACAAGACTGGTGTGCTTGCATTTTCCCGTATAAACACATAAAACTTCAAAATGTCTTAAATGTTGTGTCACATCTAGTCAGATCTGATTTTAATTTTCACATGTATTTCATGTATGAAAAGCGAATATAGGATCTGAGCATTTAATTCTGCATATTTTATAAATGGCAGATAGAATAAAGAAAAAGAAAAAAAGTCTTTCTAGAGAGCATTTGATTGGACAGAAATGTTGAAATGCCCATGAGTGCAACATGAGTCATCATTATCTGTGGTCTATTTTCTTTAGTAAAAAAAAGTGTGGCTTACTTTTCAAAATGCACCTATAACATTGCACTACCGTTCCGCAAAGATGCATTAAATTGATCAAAAGCAACAGTAAAGACATGCATAATGTTACAAAAGATTTCTATTTCAAATAAATGATGTTCTTTTAAACCTATTTATCAAAGAATCATGAAAACTGTAAATGAACTCAAAACTAATAACCACAAAACTCCATTTTGATATCATGGGGTCTTGAAATAACGACATATTTACATTTTCTGAAGAGAATGTGATTGGTGCGCATGCCATGATGCTAAGGAGGTTGTTGGCTGTTCCTATACCTTCTGTGGGATGAGCATACACACCTAAGTTTAATACATAGAGTTAGACATGTTTTAATCCTTACCCTTGAGTATGTGCAATAATAATAGTGATTCTTGCCTTGAGTTCAGAAAGCCTTTTCCACAGCTGTTGTGGGAAACCGATAAGGCTCGTCTCCTATAGTGTTAAAATGAGGTTTATGTGCTGGGGTTGACCACATCAAAGACCCTGCAGAAGAACAGATGGTCTTTCCTGTCATCCTAAGGTCTCAAGATAACAGAATACTCAAAGGAAATAAAGGATATGCCCCAGAGAGCTGTGGTTTAACAAAATCATTCTGCTCCACACCGGTTGATGAATTCGAACTGTCTCTGAGGTAATATGGGGAACTGAAGAGAAACAATTAGGATTTCCTCCCAAGCTTCAGTCAGGATTTCCTCTGAAACTTCCCAACACTAATGAACGTGCCACAGTAGTAGCAAGAGTTCGGGTAAAGTCGTTGCTATGTCAGGAGTGATAACTACGGAGATTTGTTGTTTTGTTTTTAAAAGCATCTTTAAGGTCATGCCTGACAAAGAGAGACACTGTTTTTATTGAAGCTTCAACACTCCCGGTTACATCCACAACACTTCAGCAGACAATAAGCTCAGACTCAGCAGGAGGTGTCTTTTCATCTCTCCTCAGTCAGACACCTCTCTCCTCCCTTCCTGTATCTCCTCCTGCACGTGTGAGAGCGTTTGCCCGGGCACAAGTCATAAAACCAGTGGAAGTGCTGTTATGATGACCGCATGAAAGCCAACTCGAGTCCTAATGGACTTTGGGGCTTGTCACCTATAAACAAAGCTTTTCTGGTGAAAATAAAGTGTTGGAATTAAAATACAATTGACATATTGTATTTGTCATTCCGACTTTCACAAACCCGTTCACAAAATAATGTGAATTTGGAACGACTGCAAAGGTGACTTCATGGAATAGTGCACAGTCAGTCATTCTTTATCACAAAATAAATACTACAAGACTCCTGCACCTATTTTAGGGTCTTTTTCACCCTGTTTGGGTTTATTTTTTTTTTACAAAAAAATGTTTTATGAGAGAAAGAGTGTATAATAATACAAGTACTGTATTAAGGTCCTAGATAATGTAATTTTCACAATTATTTTTTTCACGGTATGTTGTTAACCTGACTTGGGTATATTGGGGTTGGATGGTACAGACACGTCTCTACAAATCCCAAGAAATCCTTACTTTTGTCTCTTTCGATGGAACATTACCACTCAATATCTTATGGCTTGTCTCTGTTTAATAAATGGAGAGAGCAAATCTTAATTATCAAAGCTTTATTATCACGGAAATAAATTACATTTTAAAATATATTAAAGTTGAAAATTGCTCTTTAAAATTGTAATATTTTACAATATTACAGTTTTCACTGTGTTTTTGATTTTTTTTTTTAAATCAGCCTTGGTGAGCCTAAGAGACTTGCCTGGTTAAAACCAGACCATTCTCAGTTGTAACTGAGTTATGGTCTGGCAAAGCGTCATAGACAAATCATTTCCAGAGGGGCGTCACCAACGGACGTCGCGGATAGACCTAAAACCAATCAGAGCGATGAAGGAGATGACGTATGCAGAGCGGCGGAGAAACATCTCCGAGTGTTGTTCTTTGCTCGGTTTTTAACAAAAAGGAAACGTTCAAATCGCTTAAAGGTGCCCTAGAATGTTTTTTTTTATTATTTTATGATGTTTCCTGGGTTACCCTTATAATGTTAGTATGTTTTTTAGATAAAAAATAATCATAATTTAGAAATAAATGGCATTTTTCCTAGCCTGCTTTTAGCCTCTGATTTGAACACTCTGTTTGAAGGGGCGTGTCTGCTGTGGGATTCAGTGTAACCGCGGCCACTGCTGTGATTGGCTGACATGCTTGCATATGAAATAGCTAGTACGCATTACATGTGAAACTCTCTCCCGAATACTTTTACTACTGCTATTATACGTTTTCACTATAACAGCTATCGAGATTAACGAATCGTGAGATGTTTTTAAAGTATTTAGATCTATTCCCATCACATAAAATGTTGCCGTGATGAGCATTGAGCAGATGACAGTGTGTTGATCGCGAGAATGAAGATCTTATCATTGCAAAGCAGTTTCTGCACTCTCTCTGCTTTCACCAATGCAAACACGATGATGTAAATACAGTAAGAGCTTCGTTGTGCAGTGTAACGTGCGTCATTAATTTCATAACGAGTTTGGCAAGTGTCCAGATAAACTCGCGCCGTGTGGAAAGATTGTTCTTTGATCGCTTTCTGTATATAATTTGTTCACAATTTAAATACGATTATTTTCATCCTACTAAAAGAAACGATGTGAAGCTGATATTTTAGTCACTCTGGCTAACTTTAGTTAGGTAAGAGTTCTGTTGTTTATTTTGTATTTATTGTTGTAGGTTAATTAGATTTCCTTCAAACAGGTAGTGGTCTTTTGTTTGTTGTTTTGGCTTAACCCGCTCCTGAAGAGCATGCTTCATTTCCCTTTTCTTTTTCTGGAGTTGTTTGTTTAGTTTTCCTTTTTCCACTGTATCAATGTTATCACTTATTTATTGTAAATAAATGTATAATACATCTTACTTTGTGTATTGTGTACTGGGACTCAGATAAGTTAACTTCTCTTTGTTGCCGTTAACTTTTGCTTTAAAACGTTACTTCCCTTTTGCCCCTAGAAAACTAATTGGGAACGTAACACTTGACTTACTGATGCATAAACAGTATTGAACGATTTTGAGAGAAAGATTACCTGTCTGAACTTGAACAATTACACATCAGAAAGTGTTGCTTGGTAGCTCGATCCGAGGCCAGCTCTGTATTGGCCCAAGTTGAGGAAACAGTCGGTGAAATGTTTGGAAATTTCCAGAGAAAATAAAATTAACCCATTGTTTTTTCAGAGGCTCAGATGAAGGAACTAAAAAATACTTTTGTGTTCATGTGTACATCCACACTGAGCAACTGTCATGCTTCGGCTGCGCAGTTCCACCTGGCATTGAGGGCTGGCATTATGCAAATATTTGGAGGCGTACATATTAATGATCCCGACTATTGCGTCACAGTCGGTATTGTGTGGAGAACCGACCGTTTTTCAGGGGTGTTTTTCATAAACGTGAATTAAATGAGAACGCGAAAACAGTCCAGTTTGAGATTCACTCCATGTCATGTCCATGCACTGAACTCTTGTTATTTGACTATACCAAGGTAAATTCAATTTTGAATTATAGGTCACCTTTAAAACAGACGCGATAGCTGATTCGAACGAGTGATGTTCCACGGCGGCATCCATCTCTGTAATGTAGGCTACAAAATCTGCTTCAAAATCCCAGCGCTGTCATCATCGTGTAAAGCCCGCCCCAACGTTTCTGATTGGTGCCGCGATTTCGACGGATTGGAAATGGCTTGAATGAGCTCTTTGCCAGACTAACTTTCAGAGCAAATCTAAATTTGCCGGAAGTTGTCTGGGTTTTCCCAGGCTAACAAGAGACTTCTTTCAATCAAAAAAATATATGTATGTAATATAAAACACAGTATATGTATGTAAAACCTAATTTTTAGCATCATACTTCCTTTGTTTATTTGCAAACAATTTATGTAGTTTAGAGGATACAAAAATGGTTAAGGGTAACAACAAATGAAGTTTGTCTCATTCACGTTGTCTCTCGTGATTGTCTCTCTTCAATGAACTTCATCCCATGCAACCAATGATAAAATAGAACTTATGCCATCCTCAAAAGCTCTCAGAGCTGCCATCTCAGTTTGAGATGAACTCCTCACTCCTTCAGACACCACTGAGCATCATTACTCTGTTTACTCGAAGGGGGAAAAATAGCACATTCTATTTATCACCTTCAAGGAATAAGTGGACCAAAACATTCTGACCTACAAGCTCATTGCTCAAACTTTAGGGAATATCCAATTAAATTGTATACGTAGTGTTCTGTGTTTAGTGCTTGTTATAGAGGAAAACATCATCTCCTCTGGGTCACAGGTCTCTCTCTAGAATTGGTTTTCAGTGTCTCACTGGAGGAGTGCAGCATGAGTGCATCTTCTTACCAAAACTGGAGCGTGTTGGTACATGCCCTGATTTTGGGCTCTTGCTCGCTGTTTAGGATCCAACTTCTGTCATTACCTCAACTCCCAAAAACAGAAGCACTGTGAAAGAG